CTATGAAGCTCATTCTCGTCATGATCACCCATGGTTATCCATTATGTCCAAATACAGACACACTGCAATCGTTTATATAATTTTAATTGTTTCAGTGCCACTGAGAGATGCAAGAATAAATTTAGCACTGTAGCTCTGAATATGAACGCATAGTAGATGCCAAAATGATGAATGCCCCTGCAATTCACTTTAACATGCTTTAATTTGCAGAAAACTATAGATGCACAAAAGAAATGCCCACAGGATTAGCTTAGGGGAGGGGGAAAATTCAACAGAATGACTCAGGCAAGCATTTCAATGTTTTGCAACTGAAAGTTTTAAAAAAATAAAGTGAATTTTCTTTTTGTTTTACAACATGAACAGGTGTTGCACATTGATAACAGAAATATTATACTTGGTTTGGTCTATTTATTTCAGCATTGTGCAATATATAAGCATCAAGTTGTCATGCAAGTATGTAAAGAATGTATAACAACAAACAATCATACATGTAATATACTTAAACAGGGCCAGGGGGAGACTGAGGGTGCATCTAAACTGTAAAATTAATGCAGTTTGACACCATTTTAGCTGGCATGGCTCAATACTATGGAATCACAGGTATTGTTGTTTTTCAAGGTTTTTAGTCTTCTCTGCCAAAGAGTGCTACTCTTTTAGCAAACTATAACTTCTGTGATTCCAGAGCACTGAGCCATGGAAGTTTAAATGGTGTCAAACTGCATTAATTCTACAGTGTAGTTGTACCCTGACTGAATAAATAAAAAATGTACCCAATGCATCTTTAAAGCAAGGAGGACCAATAGTCCAATATTCCAATAATGTTTTGGGATAACCTTATCAGGCTACCTTTTTGAATATCATAATTATGATTAACCATAACTGTGATGAAAGACCATCGTAAATACACATGTTATTGATGTGTGTGTGAAGGATAATATGCAATAACACCAGATAGAAATACATCTAATGTCTGTTAATGTCTCTACATTGTGCTTAAATCCTCTGGTGAAGCAGGATAATGCCATGAAGAGCCTTGGCTGAAGCATTTAATTTTTATGGCCACTGCTGCCCTGCATAGAATGTCTTACAGGGCTGGGAAGAAAGACAAGATATTTCTAAGGCTGTGACTGTAACCAAATCCAGTTTTATTTCCTTGGTCATACACAGTGAATAAACTATTAGGCTGTTCATCAGCGGCTGAAGTTCAGTGAAAACAGATCATAAACTTTGTATTTTTGTTCCATTTCCTCCTGTTCCAGAAAGGTGGATGAGAAATTATGGCGCTTATTCATACCCACAGAATTATATCCTCCTGCTGTAGAAGCATTTTGCTATAGAACATACATATTAATTGGCACATTTTGTTTCCAGTAAAACCAAATCATTCAAGCTCATTTCACCACACATGCACTTTCCTAGTGATTCAGCAGGGTAATAAGGAAAATGACAGTCCATTACTAAGTTTTTTAGTACTGTTTTCCCCCTCGTGTTTTTCTCAGAGAATGAAGGAGGATTTATAAAAGATAAATTAGAAGGTACTCATAGTTTTGCTCATAAGAACAATGCATTTTTATTTTGGTAGACTACATTATTAAACTAATATCCCCTGAAGGAAATCCTCACTAAAAGTTTAGTGTGTTTATACAGTTTTTACACATTTTAGTTATTTTTTTGGACTGAATTCTAACCATTAAGGCAATAACTGTTACATGCAACAACAGTTTGTACCTCACTCACACTATATATCCCATCAAACGAGATTTCACATTTGGGGAATCACTCATTTAAAATGATAAGGGCTACCTATGGCAGACTACAATTTATTTATCTATTTATTTATTTGCCATATTTATATCCCTCCTTTCTCACGCTGGAGGGGACTCAAGGCAGCCTTACAACAGGCAGCAATTTGATGCCATGCACACAATAAAGAATTACAATTAAAACCAAACAATTAAAACATGAATTATTAAAACATCAATTAAAATCACACCATCCAAAACATGCTCCAAGGTTATTTCATTTGTCAGTCACATTGATTCGTGGTCACTTACTGCATTGCTCCAATTATATGTCGAAAGCTTGGTCCCAAAGCCACATCTCTCTTTTTCCTGAAGGTCAAGAGAGAAGGGGCTGATCTGAAGGAGTTCCACAGCCAAGGGGACACCACTGAGAAGGCCCTGTCTCTCGTCCCCACCAATTGTGCCCACGAAGAAGGTGGGACCAACAACAGGGACTCCCCAGATGATCTTAATCTCTCAGATGGTTCATAGAGGGAAATATGCTTGGATAGGTAAGCTGGATGGAACTGTTAAGGGCTTTATAGGCTAAAGACAGCACTTTGAATTGTGCTTGGTAGTATACTGGCAGCCAGTGGAGCTGGCGTAACAGGGGGTTGTGTGCTCCCTGTACCCCGCTTCTTGAGCAATCTGGCTGCCACCCGTTGGACCACTTGAAGCTTCCAACCAGTCTTCAAAGGCAACTCCACATAGAGCGCACTGCAGTAGTCTATTCGAGATGTAACCAGAGCGTGGACTACCATTACCAAGTCTGACTTCCCAAGGACCCTTTCTCTCATTTTCAACATTTCAGACTGTAACAATGCCAAAAAACGTCAACAAGGCAATATCAGATTTTTAAGCACAATGAGTAAACTTGTAAAGAACCTGACAAGTGGAGAGAGCAATTACCTAGCTATGCAGATATATTAGTTCTGCGTATTGCTTCAACCACTGGAGAAGATAGTATTGATGGTGGTTCCTTATTATTTAAAAGCTCTATGATGCACTACATATTTTCAGGAAAGCTTATAACCTGCAGATTTTCATCATAAAATGGGAAGGTTAACAGATGCATCAATTAAAATGTCATTCCAGGGAACCTCTGTGTTGTACTTAGGTAAACTTCAAGGCTGCATTTCAATATTTTCATGAACAGGGGAAAAATCCATTGCATGACTGATATAATGGATAATAAAATGTCTAGTCTTGGCAAGTATAAGTGGTGTGCTGGTCCTGCTACTGTTTTTATGTCACCATAAAATATTTATTTGCTATCTTGTGCCAAAAAAACTAAAATCCTTTCATCACTGGCTTGAACCTTACTCCTGTATAAACATTTTAAAGGACATTTCTTTTAACAGGGTAATCCTGTGTATGCCTACTCAGACATAAGAGCCCCAGGATTCAATTGGAGTTAAGTGTGTTTTAAGACAGCTGTCAGAATTGGCCAATTTCCAAATCTAGGAATAAGAGCATCATATTTTTCTCCAGTGTTTATGATTTAAAAATGGGGAGGGAAGAGAAACAATTTGTCTTGCCTTGATGCTAACACATTGTGTTTATTTTACAGATTTGTTCTAAAAAAAGCAAAACAAAACACATCAGTGCATTACGTTATCAGTTGAAGTCAAGATATAAAGCCACTTGCTTCAGCACTTGAAATGCATGTTTGAAATATTTTCAGGAGCTGCCCACCCACCTGCTGGGTTAATTTAAATGGGAACTCTTTCCAGTTTTAGTTTTTTGGGGAAAGGACTTCTTATTCCACACTTCTTGATCATGTTCATGATCACTGGTTACTTTATATACTCATGTATAAGTTTAGAAATCTTAGTTAAAAAAATTAACACAGAAACCTGGGTGAATTTATCCTTGGGTCCAACACAAGTGCTATAGCTTTACTGTCATGAAAAAAGGAAGCATCCACTTCTATGATAGAGTGGAAAAAAGATAAGAGCTTAGTCTATTCCAGAAGAACCTAAAATAGGTGGCATCTCCTTCTACTTTCTTTGCTGCTGTGTACCTTTTGGCCATTTTGAATGCCAGTGTGGGAAAATGGTGGCAATGTCTGTGGGTAACTGGTCCCCAGAGGTGGCACTGGTGCTTTCCCCTCAACGTGGAATAAACTTTGACTTATCCACACATCATATCAACATCTATGTTGGCCCCAAAGCCTGCTCTTGACTTGAGATTGATTTATATGTGAGTATTTATAGGGAAGTATATGTAACATAAATAGGATTTCCAGTATCTTCTCAAATGAGCCTCTGATATACAGTGTATTTTTTTTTACAAAAGTTCTGTACCTAAAGAAGAGAAGAGATGCTGCATTGTTTGAAAGACGCTATTTGTGAGATATTCCTAAAGTCTTCATATTGTAAATCTTGTGAACTTTGTTCATTCAAGTGAGGATACATGTGAAATGAGTTGCAGATTGCCCAATTTATCAGTGTTTTCCTGATTTGCTCACTAGCTTCAGCATTTGCTACACACACTGTGATAAAATAAAATGAACCCCACAGTCCCAATAAGTCCCATTGGCCCATTAAAAGGTTTCCTCAGCTGAGAGAGGATGATTAAGGAGGACACCCACAGAGAAGATGATGGCCACTGCAAAGTTCTTCACTGGAGCATGTCAAGCAGACCCAGCAGCTTCCCTTCTACACCCCTGGTCCCACCAGGATAGAGCAGCTGAAATGCCCTTTCCAAACACATGACCTCTAACTAATATTAGGCTGTCACCAGAGATATGCCTCCTTCATATAGAACACTCTCCTAACCTTTTCTTCTGTACTTGACAAGACACTACCAATAATTGCCTATTTATTTGCCACTGGGAAATGGCTCAAATTCTGTGGGGATCATGCTAGTTTAAACAAAATCAAATTTTCTCCAAGCAGCAAATGGTTTCCTCTGGGAAATTGTGTTCAACCCCTTCTCATTAGATATCGAGAAGCCACCTATTATACATGTTGAAAAACTGAACTGTCAAATTGACTTCTCAACTTATGCAAGATTTTTGGTAATAATTGTCACTGTTCGAGATCATGAAGTTAAAAAGTAGGTGGGGAGGCAGCATGGCTTGTGATCTCCAGTGTGTCTGATGACAAGACTTAGTAATTGAAATGGAGAGAAAACTACCAGTGCAGATGAAAGTAATTTGCATGAGTTTTGCTCAACTTGAGGGAAACTAATGGACATGCCAATCAAGCATCTTACCTTGTAAACTGTAGATTTCTCCTGCGCTGTTCTGCCGAGTGATGTGATGCCAGTATGCACTGCGAGGAAGTGAAATCGACTTGGGTAATGTCATTGGCTCAGTCAAACTGGTCTGGAGCTGAAAATATAAAGAAAACACATTGAATCATGTCCTTCTATCCATTTGTCTAACATGTTTCAAGCTATGATTATCACAAACTACTTCTTGAACTGGGATATTTTACTTTTAATGAACTAAAATTGTATACATCAAAAATGAGTTGATAAAACTCAGAAGGACAAAACGTTGATGTTTTAGAAGGCATGTCTTTTTAAATAATGTTTTCTATACTTTTCTTCATAAGGACTATTTCAGGCTGAATATCCCTTATATGGAATTCCAAAATACCCCCAAATCCAAAACTGTCCATATGGGTGGCTGTGATAGTGACAGGTTGCTCTCTTATGGTTCAATGTACAGTGTTCCCTCACTGCTTTGTGGTTCATTAACCACAGACACGCTGTTTTGTGGCTTTTCAAAACATTAATTTAAAATAAAAGTAGTGAGAGAACACTGTATATAACAGACTTGAGTTGCAGAGTTACTCCTCCGGGGCCAGAGAGGGCCACCAAGGCAACTTCCGCTGGGCCTTCTTCCTCTGGGGTCAATGAGGGCTGCCAAGGCAGCTTCAGCTGGGGCCAGAGAGGGGCGCCAAGGCCAAGGCAGCTTCTGTCGGGGCCAAAGAAGGCCACCAAGGCAGCTTCCACTGCAAACAGAGCTTTTCAGAAATCATAAATCTCAAACACTTCTGATCCTAAGCATTTTGGACAAGGGATATTCATGTATTATTAATTTTGTGGGACAACACTAGAAATGAAAGTAATAGCACACTATTTTACCAACCCACTCATTTATATGACATCATGAGTGTAGTATGAATCCTTTCTCTAATGATGAATTTCAAACTGGCCTAAGGTTGTACAGCTGTACTTGTTGAGGTATAAGATGCATTATGTCAATACACTGAGCAACAAACATTTCATCACCAGAAATGACAAAGAGTATTCATCGGTTCAGTTTCACACGTTACCTTAAAGAACTTTTCTCTGATCCTTGTTAGATTGTGTTATTCCCTATTAGCAGTAATTGGAAAGTCTAGCCCACCTTTACAACAAAACAGTAGTTGCACTAGTGTAATACAGGAACACAGCAGAAAGTATATGCAAATATAGCAGAAGGGTACAACTGCAATTTGAGAATAATTCAGTTCTATTATGGGATTTGGGTCATTGCATAGAATTTACAGGGTCAGATAATTTAACCCAATATTATGCACACCAAATGTTTTAAATTCAAGGTTTCTACGTGAACAGGCAAATTGATGCCAAATGTACTGTGCTTTGACAAGCTATAAAGTTATTGGTGAGTGTACACACATATTATGCAAAGATATTGGAAAGTGAATAAAATTGAAAAGAATTTGATGGTGAATGTGTACGTGTTGTTTTCAGGTTCCTTAGCAACCAATTGCTATTTTAGCCATGAGTTGGTGGAGAGAGCATAGTATCAGTTTCTGGGCAATGAGTATTGAAAGGTGGCTTTTTCTGTTCATGGAATGGGTTTTTCTATTTGTAGAAGAGACGAATGCTGAAGAAACTTCTGGAAACAGAAAGGGAGAATGGGTGATTTCTGTCATTTCATCATCCCTTCCTCCCTCTCAAATTGTTGCTGCATGCTCAAGACCCTCTACAATGCATTTATGAAGGACCTAGTGGCCTGAAGGAGAAAACCATGTCACTAACATCTGGCAGATGAAACCAGGGCACATATGGTCAAGCAACATAAGTATGTGGTCAAAACATATTAATAAGAATGAATGCACAAGGTAGGAAAGGCTGCAAGCAGTTTCCATCCCTTCTCCACTTTTCCCTGCTGAGTTCCTTGAGTGCTAACTATTCTTGCACCATGAACTCAATTTCTAGCAATTAAAGTAAACTGAGGACAAAGAAGGAAGCAGGAGAGGGAAATGGAAACATCATAAAAGCAGCTGAAAAAGGGGGATGATAGAGATAGCCTTGTCTTATAAGAATAACTGAATAATATGGAAAATAGCAAGATATCCTTCCCTCATTATTACGTTGTTCAACTAGATTTATAATCCTTTTAAGAACTGAGGCTCCTCTTCCTCTGTTTGTCCATTTCCACAATTTGAAATATATCTCAAGTGAATACAGCTGGTGTAGGTTAAGGAACTACAGCTGAACTTTCCAACGAAATTCTAGGCAGGAGTGGATTTCTTGACAATTTCACTGTGCCAAGAAAAGAAAACCTTTCTTTCTTTCCCCTCTGCTCTCCCAACCAAGCCGAGGTGGATGTGGGAGTAAGGATGAACAGAACTGGAAATCAGCTACTCTAAGAAGCAGTGTTCTGTGCAGAGTTCATGGGTTTGCAAGCAGCAATCTCATTAGGAGGTAATGATTCAGAAAAACAGCATTAATTCTCATGTGGCCCCTCTACTGCGGCTGTTGTGCAATGATTAAAGGACAACAGGGACATGCCAGAAAGGGACATACTGAACAGCACACTCTGTACATCAAAACAAGCCCCCTCTTCCCAGCAAGTCATCTGAAAAGACTAGAACATGAAGCTAAAGCTGCTGTATGGAATTATTGCCCACCTTAGATATATTCAAACTGATTTCTATTGTATTAGGGATAAAATGATTACATGTTTATATAAATAGGCACTACAAACAAGAGCTTTTTGTAGAATGAGTCCTATTTGAACACATTTATGTCTTTGTTGGAAATGGTCTGCAATTATGGCAGATAACTGTATTAGAAAATAATGATCATCCAATGAGGAAAAATGACTTTTTTTACTTGTCTCCATTTCATGGCTAGCAGGTGGAAATTTTAATATATGCCACAAAACTTCATAAAGTAGTGAAGGCCAATGACTTCCTCTGCTTCAAACCTAGTAGAAGTTTTAAGCCACATACTCTATAGTATCTGTGTGGCATTATTATTCAATCTATGATTAAATGAATTAAAATATTTTAACATGCAACCTTTCTGCAAATCATGGAATAAATGGAATGAAGTTGTTAATAATACTGGTATATGTCTGTGAAAAGAAATTGCAAGGTAAATTGTTATGAATAACTAGTCCAACCAACTAGTCCATACACTATTTTTTAAAATCAGCTAGAATAGTTGTAAAAAAAGGTTGTGATTCCACTTGGGTCCGAACTCAATGGGATTTCCTTTACAAAAATATGTATGAAATTGTATTGATATATTATTCATATAAATGTATGGTTTTGGTCAATAAGATAAGATTTCATTAAAAAAAAATCTGAGAACATAACATCCTGATCCTGCCATGTCCAGGATTTCAGCAACTGCAGAATCTTGGAACTAGTTTCTATAGTTAGATTTTTAGATTTTCTCAAAAAAGGGCAGAGATGGGGATTTTGAATTTTCAAAACAAAACAACCCACAGCCATATACCAATTGTATTGATATTGATCTGAAAATGGAAGCAATTCTTGAGGGATAAATTACTAACTTGATTATTTGTGAATTGCATGGGTAAATCATGACTACCAACTGCAGAAAGGAAGGATGTCACATTAGCTCCTCAAAAGAATTTGGAGTGTGGCATCCTCTGCTGAATGCACAAAAGATTATTTTTCGTCCTTAATGTCCTCTAGGGAACAAGCGGGATGTTTAATATATTTTTGTGCCTTTCCTGGCTATTTTGGTCTAGGAAAAGCTATTTTTTATATCAGAAAGGAAGCAGAAATAACTTCAGATTTTTAAGCCTAAAGTATTCCCCCATTTTTGGTACCTCACTACACTGAGCATTCCCAAATGTATAGGCCTTGATTATTTTGCTTGCCTTCCCCCATACATTTGAGATCTCTAGTATGACTTTTTTTTCAAGATGGGGCCATCTGAAAACCAGACTCAACTCCTACAAGTGGTAATTGTGATTCCGTATGTGTAGCCTTGTTTCAGTTAGATGGCTCTTTAATGTTTTCATTCCTCCTATTGGATCAAAAATTTAAGTCAACTTTTATCTTGTATCTCTTATTTCTTTCTTATTTTCATAAACTATTTTCAGGAAAACCAAATATAAGCAACTGAACACGATAAACCATTTCTATCACCAAGATGTGAGTGTAGTGGTAACTAATACTGGGGTTTTATAGACAAATTTTCTTTACTATACTGCAGTGTGCTAACATATGAACAGCTCCACATTTTTATTAGTGTCCATATATAGAGATTTCTAAAGTACTGAAACACTGGCAGTACAGCTCACGGATACCCTTTGGGTTTCACTTCAAATACGAAAAGGTATCTCAACCTTCAGTGATGCTTTTGAAGTTTTAAGAGCTTCATTTTTGGTTCAAAGAAGGGGCCATTTGATCTTAAACATTATCTAAATGCTATATGAGATCAAACAGTTTTTAAAGAAAGAAAAACAAAATCTTCCAGGAGCTTTTCTTCAAAAAATGCAGCAGAACATTTTATCTCGGACTATACAGAACTCTATATCTTCAAACCAAATCACATCAGTATCAATTCCCTTCTCCATTGACGTTTGCACTGAGTAGTTAAGCTCCTTTTCAGAAGAAAGGATTTTGGTGTAAGCTTAAAAGTGGAACCACAAACACTGGACAATAAGGGCTAAATGCTGACACTTCAACTGCCAGTGTTTCTCCTGGTGCTGTCAGGGACATTGCTGCAATGTTGATAACAAAACAATGGACAGCTATAGTCTTGGTATAAATGTGGCTGAACTCCTTTGTCATCTACATTGAAATAAATACATGTTGATGCCTTAGTCCCTTGTTATTTTGTCTCTTCTCTATGCCCCCCCCACTTAATTTGGCTCCCCGTGCCTCACATCTGGAATGTTCTTAGTCCAGGAGCTTAACTTTTGCTAATGTTTTCTGTACAGAAAGGATATTGATGGGCAAATGTTTATCACTTCAACAATAGGATGTGATGAGGAATCTGGACAGATCACATTCAATGCAAGGTTATCAAAGTACCTGAGTAATCATACAAGTTGTAACACCAATATGTGTATTTTCTTGAAGTTTTCACCAATTTTAAAAAAAACAA